CAGGACAAAGCAGTCGGGGGGGATGCAGAGCTGCTCCTGGATGGCCAAGCTGATGCTGGGCATGTAGGGCTGCAACATAACGGCCAGCATTGAAGCCATGTTCACCGCCACACCAGTCACTGTGCCCGCGCGCTCCCTGTGGGGCAGGAAACCCTCTGTCAGTGCTGGCTCCCAGCCCTGTCCTGTCCTCCCCTGCACCCCCCAGTCTCCCTACCTGTCCTTTTCATCCCCCTTGATCCACTTCCAGGGCTCGTTCACCTGGATGTACTGGTTGCCATGGCGAGAGATGCCGAGGATACATCTCAGAGCATCACGGATGCTGGTGGGGGGTAGAAGCAGGACTGAGCGCCTGCTGTGGGTCAGCCTCTGCCCTCCAGCCCTCCTGACAAGTCAGCCCTGTTGCAGCCCCAGGGTTTCATTTACCCACCGGACTTTCTCCAGCAGCTGGTGGTACTGGCGCAGCTCCAGGGTGACACGGGCCAAGAGCCGCTTGTCATCAGGTGTCAGGACCATGTTGGGGACAGTGCCACCAAAGAACTTGCACACAAACATGCCAGCTCTGGGGAGAGAGACAGAGCAGGCATGAGCACAGCCTCCTAGGAACAGAGATGGCCCCTGCCACCACCAGAAGTGTCCCAGAACCTGTTGATGAAGTTGCCCAGGTTGTTCAGCAACTCCGAGTTGTTCTTGAGCATGAGGTCGCTCCAGGAGAAGGCACTGTCCTGCCCCTCAGGCCGCAGGTACAGCAGGTAGAAGCGCCAGATGTCCGCAGGGATGCCTGTGTCTTTGGCCATGTCCCCAAACACTCCCACACCCCGGCTCTTGGAAAACTTCCCATCCTCATAGTTCAGGTACTCTGGGGAGAGCAGGAGAGACCCCACCGTGGGGCCCAAGCATGGATCCAGCCTCTCCCAGGCAGGGAAGATCCCCACAACACAGATACCGTCAAAGCCTCGCACCAAGCTCAAAGGGGCTTCCGAGTAAAGGAGGGCAAATTCTGTGCCCATGTGGGACAGACTGGACTGTTTCCAGTACTGAGGGAAAACGGCAAAGTGTGGAGACCCCCCGATCCCTGATGACCCCTCAGTACCTGTAGCGATGAGATGGTTCACCAGGGTGTAGTTGTCATTGGCACCCAGGAGCGAGCAGGGGAATATGACGCTGTGGAATGGGACGTTGTCCTTGGCCATGAAGTTGTAGAGCTCAACCTGACAGGGAGAGGGAGGCATGGCGGGGCATCAGTGGATGCTGGCATCCAGCTCTGTCCCTACCTCCACCCTGCAGCAGCACCAGGTTCTTACCTGCTGTGGGTTCTTCCACCACCTCTCCCACTGCTCGGTGTAGTTGGCCGTGATGGACAAGTAGCCAATGGGAGCGTCAAACCACACGTAAAAAACCTGAGGGGAGAGCGATCCATGAGCAGGGGACCCCGAGGCAGGGCACCTGGGGACAGATGCTGCAACCGAGGGGCCAGGTGGGACTCACCTTGTCGCGGAAGCCATCAAGGGGCACGGGCGTGCCCCACTTCAAGTCACGGGTGATGCAGCGGGGTTTGAGCCCATCCCGGATCCAGGAGCGAGTGATGTAGCGAGCGTTGGCCGTCCAGTCCCCCGTGGCCCAGGACTGCTCCAGCCAGGGCTCCAGCCGCTCCTCCAGCTGTGGGGGAACACAGGGGGATGGTCTGTGGTAGCAGGGGGTCCCCCATCCCTTCCCCACTCCCCCAGGGATGAAGCCCACCTTGGGTAGGTCCAGGAAGAGGTGCTGGGTGGGTTTCACCACAGGGACACCCCTGCAGAGCTTGCACTGCGGATTCTGTCGGGAGAAAAAACATGGGTTGGAGGGAGTCCAGGATGAGGCTAGGTGTCCCAGGCAGAGCTGTGGAGTGTGGTTTGCGGGGTGGAGTGGTCCCCAAGGGACCCCTGTCCCACCTTCAGCTCCACAGCATTGATGAGTTTGCCACATTTATCACACTGGTCCCCCCGAGCCTCCACGTAGCTGCAGAAGGGGCAGGTGCCCTCCACGAAGCGGTCGGCCAGGAATCGCTGGCAGGCCTCGCATCGCAGCTGCTCTACAGTGTCTTGCAGCAGGAAACCATGGGCCAACAGGCGCTGGAAGATGTCCTGGGCAATCCTGGGACAGGAGAGGAAGAGGAGGGGGAGAGCTCCCATCAGCCAGGGAACCCTGGAGAGCCACAGAGCACCCTCAGCTGGGCACGCTGGGGTTCCCCCGAACATTCCCCAGCACGGGCCCCTCCATGTGAGCCCCTGGGAGACACAGCGCTCACGCGGTCTGGTGTGGCGTGGTGGTGCGGCCAAAGTAGTCGAAGGAGATGTTGAACCAGCGGTAGATGTCAGCATGGATGGCGTTGTACTTGTTGCAGATCTCTTGGGGCGTCAGCCCCTCTTCCACTGCCTTGGTCTCAGTGGCTGTGCCATACTCATCTGTGCCGCACACATACAGCGTGTTCCAGTTCCGCAGGCGGCAGTACCTGCAGGCAGGGGCCCGTGACACCCAGGTAGGTGCTGGGGGGGGGCAGGACAGCCCCCCCACGATGTTCTCTCGGCCCCAAGGAGCTTTCCTGCAGCCAGGTCTCACCTGGCAAAGGTGTCAGCACTGAGGACGCAGCCAATGATGTTGCCGAGGTGGGGCACGTTGTTCACATAGGGCAGAGCGCTGGTGATCAGGACATTCCTCCTGCCCTCCACGGGCAGCCTGGTACAGACAGGAGCAGTCAGAGCAGGCACAAAGAGCAACGGGGCCATCCCACCCCAGAACGATGTGGCACCAGCCTGGGAGCCCCTGCCAGGCCCCTCGGAGGTCTGGGACGGCCAGCCCTAGTGTCATCTTGGGACTCACACGGGTTTCTGAGGCTGCCAGGGCTTGGGCAGTGCCGCAGCACCACTGGGCCCAGGCATTCGCAGCAGCTTCGATTTCTTCCTCTGTCAGGGCACGCTCGGAACCTTCTTCTTCCTGCGGGGAAGGCTGGTGCCAGTGAGGGTCTGCACGCCTGCCACCACCAGCCCCCCAGAGGCCCATCCCTGGGCCAGGACTGAGCAGGGGGCCAGGGCTGCACCTCAGGCTCGTTACTGGTGGCTCTCTCCATGGCCAGGCAGGGCGGAGGCTGCTTCTGCAGGTAGGACTTGAACTCCAGCAACGCCTTGGGAATCAGAACGGAGTCAGCAGCTTTCCTGCAGGCCTCAGAGACTGTCATGCTCTGGAACCAGGTACTGAGTGCCTGCAGCCCACCTTGGGGGGCGGGGGAGAGCAGCATGAATCTCACAGCCGTAGAAACACAAGGAATGCTCCCCCCCTCAGCACCCCCGTTTCGCTCTTACTTGGCAGGCTGGCCTCATCCTGGAGGACAGGGAACAAGGTGCCCCACACAACCACGTCCGCCACTGACTTGGCGTCCTGGGCCAGAGATGCGAGGTCAGGCCTTGGGGCAGCCCCAGCCCAGGCTGAGGGCTCTGCCTGCGGGCAGGCAGCAGCAAGCTCAGCTCCCCGGGGAGCGGGGATTCCCACGACTCACCCCACGGTTCCACTCACCCCAGCAAGGTAGGCAGTGCCTCTCCTGGACAAGTTCTGCTCTATGTGGGCCAGCAACCTCCCTAGGGCTCCCACCGTCTCCAGCGCCTTCTTGCCGTGCACCAGCTGGGCGTACAGGGCGGCGGAGGCCGCAGGCTGGGAGCAGACAGAGGCGGAAAGGGATCGGGCAGGCCGCTGGCGGGGGGGGGGCGTGGAAGGGGACACACGCCGTACCCACCTGCAGCTCAGTGGCCTCCCACTCCAGCCACTGGTTGGTGAGGTCGGTGGGCTCGTCCCCGTGGGCCAGGAAGAAGAACCTCGGGGAGGCGGGGGAAGAAGGGGTGAGGCGTTGGGGCGGAGGAGTCCCGGCGGTGCGGGGCTCCGCGGTCGGTACTCACTGGCAGATGGCGTTGGGGGAGAAGAGGGCGGTGCCGCTGTCCAGCTCCAGGACGGGCACCCACGGGCCGCGGGGCCGTCTCGCCGGGGCCGGGGGGTCCCCCTCAGCGGAAGGGCCACCCCAAACCAGCTGCACCGGGGCGGCGGCGGCCCCGGCGGCCGCCAGCACCTTGAGCGCGGCGGGGCCGCCCGCCGCCACCCGCAGCCGCATGGCCGCGTCCCGGCCCGCCGCGCAACTCTCGCGAGAGCGGCGGTCGCCGCGGCGACGCGGGAGCCGGCCCGCCGGGGTCCCGCCGCGGAGCCGGGCCGTGATGTCACGGAGCGGCTGTGTGGCGTCACACCATCTGCCCCTGCCGCCCGTCCCGCCCCGGAGCGCGGCGAGGATCCGGACATCCCGTCCCGTCACATGGCCGGGGGGGGGGGGGGGGGGGTGTCGCCGCCCCGCCGCCCCGGCACCAGCAGGTAGGTGGGGGGCAGCGGGGGGGGTCCCGCTGGGCTGGACCGGGGGGTCCCTGCTGGCACAGCCCGGTGAGCCGCAACACCCCCCCCCCCCCCCCCCCCGCCGGTGCTCAGGCACCGGTGGGAGAGAAAGCGCAGGGGAGCAGGGACGGGGGGAGGGACACACACAGCCGCGGGCTGGGGTGCTGCCCCCGCGGCAAAGCTGATGTGCAACCCCCGCGCAGGGTGAGTACCCCGGTTGCTCCCGCCTCACCCCCCCTCCTGCCTCCCCCCGGCAGCACGGAGCAGGCGGAGCCGAAAGACCCTGGGGGCTGAGCGGGGCCGCGGGCTCTGAGCCCTGCACTCATCAGTGCTCGGGTGGGGGGGGCAGGCAGGACCCTGGCACCCTCTGCCGACACCGCATGGCAGCCCCTTGCCCCCCCCCTCCCCCCCCCCCCAGCATCAGCTCCTGTCCACCGGCCCCGCGACACAGGCGCTGAGCATCCCCAGCTGCGGGTCAAGTGTGGGGGCTATGGGGCTGGGGCTGCTGATCTGGGTGCGTGGGGCTGGGGGGCTGAGGAGCAGGGAGTATGGTGTGGGGGGACTGGGGAGCGGGGAGTATGGAGGGGGGGGAGGCTGGGGGGACCTTGGGATGGGGACCAAGGGTCTGGGAGCCCCAGGGCTGTAGGGTTGTGGGACATGGACCAGGGGCTGGGGGGGCTGCAGGGCGGTGATGTGAGGACCGGGAGACTGGGGGCCATGGAGCTGAGGCCCCCAGCACCACCCCCCAGCCCCATGCCGTGTGGCGCTAGGAAGCCGCAGACTCGCTGCTTCCTGCTGCATCAGCTACTGGATTTCCTGCAGGTCCTCGAGCCTCGGCTGCCCCAGCACCCCAGTCCCTTTGCTCCCCCATACCCAGGGGCCAGGCCTTGGCTCCCCCAGCACCAGGAACTGGAGCAGGACCCTCCAGTGCTTTTGGGCAGGATTACCATGGAGCATTGCCGTGGTTGGGGGGGAATCCATGGCTGTGGGGCACAGCCTGGCCGTGGGGCTCGTTCTATCTGTGGAGCACAGCCTGGGGTATGGGCAAAGCTGGGCCACGGGGCATTGCCGTGGGGACACAGCCTGGCCGTGGGGCATAACGCTGCCCAATGAGTCCCGGGTCCCTGCTGCCACCCATGGCACCACTCCGCCCCATTCCACCACAGCCCATGGCCTGACTCCCACTGCCGTGCCCTGCAGATGGCGAGAGCCCGGCTGTAGTGCCCGGGCGTCCCGAGCGGGGTGAGGATGTTGGCAGGGCGGTGGCGGCTGGAGGGGCGGCGGTGGCGGCGCGCCGAGCCAGCCGTGGTGCTCCGCGCCCTCTACGACTACACATACCGTGCGGAGGACGGGCGGCATGTGGCCATGTCTGCTGGCGAGCAGTTCCTGCTGCTCCACAAAGCCAACGAGGACTGGTGGCAGGTGAGACGGGCCAGCGAGCCGCGCTGGGCTCGGCCCTTCTTCGTGCCTGCTACCTATGTGGCCGAGCTGGAGCCTAGTGACACTGAGAGATGGAGCACGCTACTCCCCAGCCAGCCCGCGGGCACAGGTGAGCAGGGCAGGGGGCACAGGGGGGCAGGACACTGGGAGAATGGAGCTGTGTGGCACTGAGGTAGGGGCAAAGGGTTGGGGGGCATAGGATGACGGGGCATACCACCGGGAGCCCTGGGCTGTGGATCTGGGTGCACAAGGCCGGGGAAAGATCGGGACTGCAGGGCTGGGGGCACTACGGGCACAGGATATGGGGGCACTGGGGGGGGACAGGGCTGGAGGACCCTTTTTGCTGGGAGACACCCATGAGGGACAATGGGGGCCAAAGGGCTGGGAGCGCAGGAGGTGGAAGGAGCACAGGGCTGCAGGCACTGGGAGACACTGGGGACTTGGGTCTGGGGGCACGGGGGGGGACTGGTGGCAGGGGAACACTGTGGAGAACAAAGTTTTGGCCCAGGGGTGGGAGTCTCTGCCCCCCCACCTGCAACCCAGAGTGTCATTTTGGGTTGGCGGGTACCCTCCTCGCTTCCCCCCTCCAGGCCGGCCGCTGCAGTACTGCTCGCTGGAAGACCTGTGTGGCCCACCCCCAGCCCCCCCTGAGGGGGCCAGGCTGACCCCCCCACACGCCCTGGGCCGCTGTATCAGCACCAGCCAGTTGGCAGAGGGGGCCTTGCCGCGGTGCCAGTCCCAGCAGGAGCCACTGGCCCCAGGGACTGGGGTGAGTGGTGGCCCCCAGAGGACACCCTGTGCCCCCAGCCCCGTTCCCCTCTGAGCCCCTCGCTGGTGCTTCCCACCCCTGCACACCCCCCAGCCCAGCACCCTCCTTCCCTCAACCGACATCTCCAACCTGCGTCCCCTCCCTGCACCCCTGCATCCCCCCCTCTACCCTCTTTGCCCCCAACCTCGCCCACTTGCACCCCCCCCTGCATCGCTTGCCTGCAACCCCTGCACCCCCCAACCTCGTGCCCATGCACCACCAACCTGCACCCTCCCAACTTCGCCCGCCTGCGTGGCCCATCTGCACTCCCCAACCTCACCCTCCTGCATACCCCCCACCTCGCCCCCTGCATCGTCCACCTGCATCCCAACTTCTCCTCTGCATCACCCACCTGCACCCTCCACCTCGCTCCCCCCTGCATCACTCCCCGGTACTCCCAACTGTACCCCCGCTGCTTTTGCCTCCCGGCACCCCCCAACCTCGCACACCGGCTCCGCTCTCTCTGCACCCCCATGCACCCCAACACCCTCCAACCACGCCCTCGTGCCGCTGCTTCCTCATCGCCGTGGGGCAGCGGAAGAAGTGGGGGGGGGGGGGGGGGGCAGTGGAGTCGGAGGGGGCTGGGGGCGGCCAGTGCTGCGCGACTGCGGGCGGTAGGTGGGAGCAGGGCACCAGACCCCGGGGAGCACTGGGGGGGGGGGGGGGGGGGGGGGAGGCGCTGCGGCTGCTGGAGGGGCCGGTGGGTGGGACACAGAGTGGCAAACAGCTCCGGGGAAGCGATTGCAAAACCCTGATCCGGGCTCGGCAGAGCAGGGGATCACTGCTGCGGGGGCAGGGGGGGGCCCACAGGGCAAGGGGGCACTGCTGGGGGGCCTGGGGATCACTGCTGGGGGGGCCAGGGGTGCATCCGAGGGTGGCCTGGAGGGCCCAGCGTGGGGCTGGGTTGTGTCCACATGCCTCCACCCCAGTTTAGGATCTGTTCCCCCAGTCGCCCCCCCCGGGAGCTGCCATGATCTACTGCAACCTGGAGGAGCTGCAGCGGGCAGGGGGCCAGGCTGAGCCCCCACTGCCGGCTGGGCCCCCCCTGCAGGTTTTGGGGACCTGGGAGCGTCACCTGGACCCCACCACTGGTCGCTGCTTCTTCTACAACCCCCAGACAGGCACGAGCTCCTGGAAACCCCCTCGGCGGCAGCGGGAGGCGGTAGTCATGGAGGTCAGCAGCGGGGGGTACCGGGGCCCTGCCAGCTGGGTCTACACCCCCCCATCTCTCCCTGCCCCCCCATGTCCCCACGCTTCCCCACCAGCATTCATCCCACTGTCCCCCATACTCCCCATGCCCCGCCATGCCAATGCCCGTGCATTGTGCTCCCCAATGTCCACCTCATCCTCCTCATGCCTCCCCAGGGGCCCCCATGACTCCTCAATTCTCCCAAATTATCCCCCCAATATCTTCCCTCCCACAGCCTCCCTGTGGCCCCACCACTGCCCCCTCTGACTCCTCCCGTGCCCTCCAGGTCCCTCTCACTGCCCCCCCCTTGACTCTGGCACAGCCCTGATGGCAATTAGTGCCAGTGCTAATTGCTGGGTGGGGCCCAGTCCTGGAGGTCCTGGCCATGCTGTCCCCTGATACTGACCCCCGGCCCCTGTCTCCCCTATAGGGCCTGCCCCCCTCTGCCGACACCCCCCGGACCATGAGACACTGGAGCTTCAGGGGTGCTGGGGACCCCGGTGACACCGTGAGCTGGGAGACGGCGGCGGGAGGGGGCCGGAGAGGAGGAAGGATAGGGGGGCACTGGGTGGTGTGAGAGGGGGGCAAGGCATGTCTGGATAACAGGGGGCATGGGGAAGGGGATGGGGGAGCACCAGGGAGGGCCCTGGCTGTGCCCCCCCACACTGTCCCCCAACAGCAGCTGAGCCACAGCCAGACCCTCGCCCACCACAGCCCAGAGGACCGGGCAGCTGCCCCCCAGCCCTCCCTGGCCCCCGCTAAGCCCCTGCCCTGCACCCCTGCCCTGCCCACTGTGAGTTACTCTGGGGTCAAGGGGTGCTGGGGATGTCGGGGGTGCTGGGGGGGACGGGGGGCAGCACTGTCCCTTGTCCTCGCAGGAGGTGCAGAAGGCCGGGCAGCTCAACAGGACCAAGATCGCTGAGGGGGGCAGGAAGCTCAGGTGGGGGCTGGGGTCACGGGGGGTGGGGGGGTCCTGGTGCAGGGGGCTGTGTCAGGCTGGGGTCCCTGGGCGGGGGGGGCTCCTGGTGCAGAGGACTGTGCCAGACTGGAGTTCCCAGGGGTGAGGAGGGTGTCCTGGTGCAGGGAGCTGTGCCAGACTGGGATCCCCGGGGGTGGGGGGGTTCTGGTGAAGGGGGCTGTGCAAGTTTGGAGTCCCAGCAGGGGCTGTGCCAGGCTTGGGGAGGTCCGCACTGAAGCAGGGGGTCTCTGCCTCTCTGGGGTCCATGCCAGGCTTGAGACAGGGGTCCCCACTTGAGCAGGGGGTTTCTGCAAAGCTCAGGGGGCCATGCCAGCCTGTAGGGTGGGAGTTTATGCTAGCGGGGCTGTGCCAGCTGGGGACAGGAATTGCAGCCGGGGGGGGCCATGCCAGCCTGGCCCATGGCTCTTCACAGCTGAGGGGCTCCAGACAAGCCATGTCCCTGGCCAACAAAGACGCTTTTGGATGTGCCAGGCTGGGGGCGAAGGGGCAGATCTGGGGTGCTGCCAGTGCCCAGATGGTGTCCAGGGCCTGCGCGGGGCTCTGTTGGGGTGGGGGCACCCAAACCTGCCCCCAGCCTTGGCTGGGGAGGGGTTGGGGGTGCTCCTCACCTGCTGCCCCCAGGAAGAGCTGGGGGGTCTCCTGGGTGGTGCTGGCCGGGAACAGCCTCATCTTCTACAAGGAACCCAAGGGGCTGGAACCCACTGCCTGGGTGAGTGGGGGGCATGGGGGTGGGCTGGGACAGTGAGGGACTGCTGGAGCATCGCGAGGTATGGGCGGGACAGTGGGGACAGCCGGGGGAGAGAACAGTGGAGGAATATGGGGTGCTGTGGAGAAACAAGGGGGACAGGGCACCCGTGATGCCCAGTGCCCCCACAGTGCCCTGCCACTAGCCGCCCTGAGAGCAGCGTGGACTTGCGGGGGGCTGTCCTGGATTGGGCCCGTGACCTCTCCAGCAAGAAAAATGTCATTCACGTGAGTGGGGTGGGACCCCGGGCTGGGGGTGTGGGGATGCCTAAAGTGTACAACCCTGGGGGCTCCAAAACCATCAGTGCATCACAGGGATCCCCCTAAATGCAGCCTGCGGAGAAGGGGACCCCACAGCCCAGTGTGTACAGGAACCCCCAAAACAGGACAAAGAGGTGTCATTCTAACAGTCCCCTGGGGCATGGAGGGATGTGGCGTAGGGACCCCCCCTTAGCTTAGGGGCACCCCTTCCGCCCCCCACTGCGGGGGGAGCAGGGCACCCCTGCAGTGCCTGGGTCCCCATGGTCCCTGTGGGGGTCCCTGGAGGTCCGTGCCACCCCCCCCATCCTGCTGCCCCCTGCTGCCAGCTCCGCACTGTGACGGGTAACGAGTTCCTGCTGCAGTCGGACCAAGAGGCCACCATCCAGGAGTGGGCTCGGGCCATCTGTGGGGTCATCCGCTGGCTGGTGAGTGCCCGGGAGGAGCCGGGGTTGCCCCCCAGCTGCCCCCGGCCCCCTCAGCGTCCCCAGACTGTCCCTGTCCACCCCCCCCAGGACCTGGAGAACCCTGTGGACGCGCCCGTGGGGTGGCTGCGCCGGGGGGATGTCGAGGACCTGGAGAAGCTCAGCAGGGACGAGGATGAGGTGCCATGGGTCACGGAGGGGGCTGGGGATCCAGGTAGGGTTGGGGGGCAGCCGGGGGGGAGCTGGCCTCGGGGCTTCGTGAGGGTGATGGCACCCCAGGCCTGCCGTGTCCCCAGGGGCTGCCCGTGCCCCCGACCCCTCGGAGAAGAAGCGGGTGAAGAGCAAGCTGAGGCGCTTCATCGTCAAGCGGCCCCCGCTCCAGAGCCTGCAGGAGAAGGGGCTCATTCGAGGTGAGGGTCCCGGCTGTGGGACCTCCCCTCAAGTCCCACCACCCTCTTGGGGCCCCCCCAAACCTCCCCACATCCTCCCTCTGCCCCAGAGCGGGAGAGGAAGAGGGTGCCTGAGTGCTCCGTCGAGCCCAGGGGGTCCCTGCGCCCCATCCCCTCCAGTGTTCCTGCCCCCAGGCCCTGCGCTCCCACTGGTCCCAGTGTCCCTCCCGGGTCCCAGTATCTGTTCTTCTCCCCCAGTCCCAGAACCCCCTCCTGCAGTCCCCATGCTCCCAGTGGTCCCATTGCCTCCCAGTCCAGCATCATCCCTTCCTGGTCCAAGTATCTGTCCTTCCCCCTGTTTCCCAGTCCCAGAATCCCCTTCCTCAGTTCCTGTGCACCCACTGGTCCCAACGTCCCTCCCGGTCCCAGTTTCTGTCCTTCCCACCATCCCCCAGACCTGGAATCCCCTCCCTCAGTCCCTGTGTTCCCACTGGTCCCAGTGTGTCTCCCAGTCCAGCGTCCCTTCATAGTCCCAGTATCTGTCCTTCCCCCCTGTTCCCCAGTCCCAGAACCCCCTCTTTCAGTCCCGTGCTCCCACTGGTACCAGTGTCCCTACTGGCACCAGTATCTGTCCTTTCACCCAGTCCCCGAATCCCCTCCCCCAGTCCCTGGGCCTCCCAGTCCAGCATCATCCCTTCCTGGTCCCAGGATCTGTCCTTCCCCCTGTTTCCCAGTCCCAGAATCCCCTCCCTCGGTCCAAGTGCTCCCACCGGTCTCAGTGCCTCCCAGTCCAGCACCCCTTCCTGGTCCCAGTGGCCTCTCTCGGTCCCGATGTCCCCCATGCCCCCGCCGCTGCACCCCCAGTCACTCCCCAGTATTCCCCCCCCACTCTCTGGGCCCTCCCCACTGCCGGTTGCCCCCGCCACGTCCCGGTGCTTCCCCATCCCAGTTTCCCCCGCTGCCGTCTCCCAGACCAGGTGTTCGGGTGCCGCCTGGATGCCCTGTGCCAGCGGGAGAGCACCACGGTGCCACGATTCGTCCGGCTCTGCGTGGAGGCCATCGAGGAGCGAGGTGGGGTCCTGCGGGCCAGCGGGTACCCCCCCAGCCCCGACCTCCCCCACCACGGCTCCTTGTCCCCAGGCCTTGACGTCGACGGGATCTACCGGGTCAACGGGAACCTGTCCGTGATCCAGAAGCTGCGTTTCGCCGTGGACCGGGGTGAGGGGCCTGGGGCAGGCACGGGCTGGGGATGCTGGCGAGAAGACTGGGACCGGGCGGGGAGCATGTGCCTGGGAGGGGGGGAAGGTGGCTTCTCCCCCTGCGACGCCTCCTGCGTCCCTGCAGAGCGAGCTGTGACCTCGGACGGGCGCTACGTCTTCCCTGAGCGGCTGTGCCAAGGTCAGCCGGGGTAGCCGGGCAGGGGGTGGCCCCGGGGTGGCCCCGGCACCAGCTGACCCCCCCCTCGTTGCTGCCAGAGGAGCGGCTTAGCCTGGCAGAGCCCGAGTGGAGCGATGTCCACGTGCTGACCGGAGCCCTCAAGCTCTTCCTCCGGGAGCTGCCCGAGCCCCTGGTGCCGCACAGGCTCTTCCAGCCCTTCATCGAAGCCATCAGTAAGTGCGTGGCTGCAGTGCACCCCAGGGCACCCCCAGGCTGCGGGAGCCAGAGGGGGGCCTCTGCGGCTGACTGCTGCGGCTCCCCCCAGAGCTGCCAGACCCCCAGGAGCAGGTGGAGAGGGTGGCTGAGCTGGTGCAGAGCCTGCCCCCTGCCAACTATGCCACCCTGCGCTACCTCCTGGCTCACCTCTGCCGGTAAGGGGAGGGTGCTGCCAGGCGGGGGGTGTCTGGGGGTCTTGGGGGGATGCCCCACAGCTGGATGGGCCATGAGGTGCCCAGGGGTGGCTGGGGGCGGGGTGTCAGGTGGAGCTGGTACAGCAGGGGAGGCGGGGGGAGGATTGGGGCTTGGCAGGGTGATGGAGCCCTGGCACATGGAGCCTCTGGGTGATTCAGGGGGGACCGGGGCTGGATGAGGGATATGGGACCACTCCCCACCCTGCCAACCCCAGGGTGATGGAGCGGGGAGATGTCAACCGCATGACACGCCAGAACATCGGCATCGTGTTTGGGCCAACGCTGCTGCGGCCGGAGCGGGAGCCGGGCAGCCTGGCAGCGGGCATGGCCCAGCAGAACCAGGCCGTGGAGCTGCTGCTGGCACACTTTGAGCGCATCTTCCCCGCCCTCCCCTGAGCCTGGCCCCCCGCCCCCCAGCTCAGGTAGGGCTGCTCTGCCAGCCCTTGCCCCTTCCCACCCCCTCCCCGGCCTCCCTGCCCCATGTACCCCCCACCCTGCAGTAAAGAGACGCTGTCCCCGGGACCGCCAGCCCCTGCTGCGCTGCCCTGGGTGAGGGGTCTGCGCCTCCAAGAGCCTCTCCCTGCCTCCCCGAGAGCGTCGACCTCCAGGCAGCCCCCCCTGCACCCTTCCCCCTGCCTCCCACCATGCCTCACACGCCTCCCCAGGGCCAGCACAGCTCATCTAGTTCCACCAGTCACTAAACACGTATCCGTGGCCCTCAGCCCTCTGCCCCGGGAAGGGCCCCCAGCTCTGCTGACACTGCCAGTGCCAGGACAGGACCTGGCCATACCGGGGCTGGGGATCTCTCTGGGGGTGCCCCGGTGTGCCTGCACCCCCCCGCAGCCGCCACCAGCCCCTGCAGCTCCCAGGGTGGCCGGCCCCGCTGGGACTCCTGCCCCAGGACGCAATGGGCAGCGGGTATGGGGGCTGTCACAGTGCCCTGGCACCAGCACCGTCCCCCTGGGGCTCCCAGTGGCCCCCAGACCCTCCCTGTTCCCCCCAGTTCCCGTGCCAGTGTGCTGCCAGGACCCGGTGCCACCGCCCAATGCTTCTGCATTCTCCCAGTGCCCTCTCAGCTCCCTCGTGCCCTCAGGCTCACCAGTTGCACCAGCCGCTCCCAGTTCCCTGGCACCGGTTCCCTAGATCTGCTCTTGGCCCTGGACGGGCAGGAGATGGTGGGCAGGCAGGGTCCTGAGAACTCCGGGCAGAAGTGGGGGGAACACAGGGCCCTGGGGGACACAGCCAGATCCCTGGGGACTCCCAGGGGGCCCCCAGCCCTGCTTTGGGCAGGGACTGATCCAGAGGCTCCTTGGGGGCTGAGAGGCACCCACAGGTGCCAGGGGGGGTGGGGGGGCGGCAGGGAAGCCCGGCTCCCAGCAGTGGCTGGTGCCTGTGCCGTACAGCTTCGCCACCCCCCAGGCACCCTGGGGCCAGGGTCCCGTCCCGGGCTGGGGGTGGTCCCAGAGGGTGGAGGGGTCCCCAGAGCCACGCAGGTGGGTGCTGTGGGAGCTGGGATGGGAGCAGCGGTTCTGTCAGCCAGAAGAGTGGTTGGGCTGCTTGCCGGGGGGAGATGGGCTCCGCGGTGCTGGGGGGGGGGCCCAGGGGAGGAGGCTTTTTAGGGACTGGGGTGCCTCATGCTGCAAGGCTCAGGCAGAGTCAGAGTGATGGAAGTGGGGGCCAGCAGTGATGGCTGCGGGGAGCGACAGGGGCTCTCCGCTCCGGGTGTGTGGATGGTGTCAGGGCTGGCAGGTTTTCCCCGTGCCAGGCACAGGGGAAGCATCGCCCCGGCCCCTGCCTGCAATGGGGCAGTGGCTCAGGGTCCCCCCGGACCCCCACGCAGCTCCCGTAGCCCTGCACCCCCCGGCAGAGCTGGCTGGGCAAGGGGTTCCCCGTGCCCCTTCCTCCCAGCCCTGGGCGCGGAGAGCAGGGGCTGCGCAGGGGAGCTTGGGGTGCTGGAGGGGCACAGCCTGGCTTGGCCCGTTCTCGGCACATCCCTGGGAGATGGAGCCGCAGAAGTGACCGGGGGTCTGCGGCGGTGATGGTGGTGGTGGGCAGGCAGCCCTGCACCCCAGCACCCCAGCACCCACAGCCCTGGGCACCCCCCGCCACCTCTTCCCCCTGCGGCCCTCACCCTCATCCTGGGAAGGAGCACCCCAGAACCCCTCGGGTGACAAAGGGCACGGGTAGAGCTCAGCTCCTGCACCCAGCCCTCGCCTGCACCAGGCTCCCCAGCTGCAGGCGACAAAATGCCCCAGGGCAGCGCCCCCCCACCCTCCTGGGGTCACCCCTGGGGTCAGGGGGTGCAGCAGAGTCCCCTCGGCCCCCCAGGGACGCTGACCTGGGGGTGAAGACGGCCGCAGACACCGAGTGCAGCAAAGGGGTGGGAAAGAAGTGGGGAGCCCCTCTGGCACCCGCTACCCCCCAGGACATGCCAGGACACACGTGCCAATGTGTCCTTGTGCCCCGCGCACACGTGCCTGTGCACACGCCGCCCGCCCGGCGTAAGCACTGGCCCAGGTGTGCGCACACACGTGCACGGCCACGCTGCTTGGTACAGGCATGCGTGTGCACACATGGCCCCTCTCCTGCTGCCTTGTCCACACACACCCCCTTGCACAAGCACTCTTGCACACACACACCTGTGTGCACATCCCTTTCACACACACACTTGCAGACATGCACCCTTGCACACACACCCATCCTTGCACATGCACCCCCTTACACACAAATACTCTTTCACACATGCCCCCCTTGCACACACACACTCTTGCACACGTGCCCCCTTGCACTCACGCACTCTTTCACACACACACACACCCTTGCACAAACACTCTTGCACACATACACACACCCTTGCACACAAATGCTCTTACACACATACCCCCTTCCATACATGCATGCTTGCACATGCATCCCCTTGCACACAAATGCTCTTGCACACACACCCCCTTCCACACATGCATGCTTGCACATGCATCCCCTTGCACACAAATGCTCTTGCACACACACACCCTTGCACACACGCATCCTTGCACACACGCATCCCCTTGCACACAAATGCTCTTGCACTCATGCATCCCCTTGCACATACACACTCTTGCACACACGCACCCTCTGGCGCACACACTTCCTTGCACACACGCACTCTTGCACACGTACCCTTGCACTCACACACTCCTGCAGGCATGGACCCTCACACACACACACTCCTGCACACACGCACCCTTGCACACACCCCCCCTTGCACACATACCCCGCCTTGCACAAGCGCCTGCAGTTGCCACAGGCCCCAAAGATGAGTTCCCTGGAAGCCCAGCTTCTCCCCCCATCACCCACAGAGCTGTTTTGGAGAGGAGGCCGCCCCCCTGCAGTCAGGGTGGGCTCTGTGTGCGGGGGAGGCGTGATGCTGCCCCACCGATCCCCAGTGCATAACCATCCCACGCATGCTCTGCTACGCACGGGGACCCTGTCACGTGCGACGTGGGGGTCCCAGGGGTCTCACACTGCAACGTGAACAGAACAGGACCGGGGGGGTCGAGGCCCCTGAGCGGCAGGGACCCTCTGAGAGCGGGCTGCTGGGGGCAGGCACGGCGCCAGCGCACCCCAGTCCCTCGGGACGTGGGTGCTGTGAGCTCTGCAGGCAGCTGAGCACTGCACAGCCCTCTGCTTACAGCCCCTCTCCAGCATGGTGGGGAGAGAGCTGGGAGGGTGAAAGTGCAGGGGTGCATGAGGTGAGTAAAGAGAGTTTAGCAAAAAAAAAAGTAAAAAAAAAAAAAAAAAAAGAAACCGTGAAAAAAAAAACAAGTGAGGCAGAAAAATAAAGAAATAATTGCTCATCACCAGCCAACCAACGGCCGGTCAGCCCGCGAGCAGCGGCGGTCCCAGCAAACAACGGCCGTGACGTGCTCAGCGCGCAGACACACTGCACCTTGCCCAGGTCCCCCCCACGCACGACCGTGGGCGCCCGGTGCCCACCTGGAAACGGGCGGGGCACCAGCTCACAGACCGCGTGCTGCGCTCGGTCCCGCCGGCGGCGCTGGCGTCCTCGGGAGCGGCTGGGGAGCCGGGACTCGCCGGGGGGGCGCGGGGCCAGCTCGGGGGGACCGCGAGGAAAGCGGGCGTACAGGGGGCACAGGCGACCCCAGACCCACGGAGCGCGCCCCACCAGCGGCACCCCCACGGGCAGCAACCTGTAGCCTCTCCCCGTGCCGCGGCCCGTGAGCACCCTCCGTGGGCGCCCACCCCTGTGCCCCCCCCCCGTATCCAACCCGTTGGTATCTCACCCGGGCCTCCCCCGCCCTCTCCCCGCGTCTCCAGGCCCGCCCTCGCAGGCCCCGCCCCCGCGCCCTCCTTCACCCGCCCACCCCGCGCGCGGCTCTCGCGAGATCGACGCCGGCGGCCCCGCCCCTGCCCCCCTTTTCCCGGCCCACGGCACCGACCCCGCCCCGCCCCGGTACCGACCCCCGGCCATGGCCGACCCCAAGTACGCCGACCTGCCCGGCATCGTGAGTGCGGGGGCGGGACGGAGGGGGCCGGGGGGTCTGAGGGGCTCGGGGGGGCCCTGAGGATGAGGGGTCGGGGGGGCCCGTGAGGTGTCTGAGGGGTCGGGGGGGCCCTGAGGATGAGGGGTCGGGGGGGCCCTGAGGATGAGGGGTCGGGGGGGCCATGAGGTGTCTGAGGGGTCGGGGGGGCCCTGAGGTGTCTGAGGGGATCGGGGGGGCCGAGAGGAGAACGGGGGGGTCCGGCGGGTCGGGGCGGGACTGAGGTGGTCTGAGGGGATGGGGGGATCTGTGGGGCCTGAGGAGATCGGGGGGGTCTGAGGGGAACCGTGGGCATCGGCGTGGGGACTGGCGGGGTGGGAGGGGTTTGGGGGGTCTAAGGGGATCCGGGGCCTTGGGTCAGGAAACGGGGCATCTGGGGAGACTGGGGGTGTGGGAGGGGGCTGCCAGGGGGGATTGGAGGCGTTTGGGGTGTCGGAGGGGATCTGAGGAAGCTGGGGGTGTAAGTGGTGTGTTTGAGGAGCTGGGGGGTGCCGGGGACTGCCGGGGGGAGGGGGAAAGGGCATCTTGGGGGGGTTGGGAGTAGCTGGGGCGTTTGGAGTTGTCAGGGGGAACGAGAGCAGTAAGTGGGGTGTCTGGGGACATCGGGGAGTCCGGAAGGTACATTGGGTCTTTGGGGAGAGGGGGGGTGTCTGGGGTGAGGGGGCGTCTGCAGCCGTTTGGGGCACCTGTGGGGTATTTGATCATAAATGGAAAATAAATCAGCCGAGGCAAGCCGGGGGTTTCACTGTTTATGCCCCAGGCCAGGAACGAACCTGATGTCTACGAGACCAGCGATGTCTCTGAGGACGACCAGGCGGAGTTCGAGGCGGTAAGGCCTGGCCGGGGCCGTGCCGCGGGGTGGGTGGGGGGAGCGACTGCTCGTGCCCCCGTCCCACAGCCAGACTGGCACCGTGGCAGGGAAATGGCTCCTGTCCCCGCTCGCGCCCCTGTGCTGCCGCGTCCCCCCCGCCGACGTGTTCCAGCGAAGAGCCAGCCCCATCTCTCAGCCTGCCGCTGCTCAGGGCGGGG